ACATTATATTCTGATTATTAATAATAATCATTTTTATCGAAGCTTCTGTACTAATAATTCTGTATATTACTGAATATAAGAAATATTGTTTCTTGCTTAAATGTAGTCATAATATCTATCAAAAAACCAATAATTGTATAAAATATAAAAAGGAATACATTCTCTCATTTATTTACGAGAGCCTTTAAGCCGTCTGCCCAAGCCATTAGGAGCACTATCTCTATCTCTCTCTGTCAAGGAAACTCTTTATAATGCTATCCTTGACAAATCCTCTTGCCCTATTATTTCCCGGGTTAAAACACTTGAACTTTGCTCTTGGACAAATGCCTTAATAGAGAATAGGGAGGGTAATTTAAGTTTTTTGGGTTAATGTGCGATTCTGGAATCCGTCCTGAAACATTGGGGATGTTCATTCATTTTCAAGATTAAAGTTTACTACATAATTAGAATTTGAAACATATGCATTAATGACTGATTAAAAAACGCTGTAGAAATGCAGGTATCTGGGGCTTGACCCACTTCCAGATCTCTGTCACTGGCCGGAGTTGGGTAGGTATACCCTCAAGCACTTCCATCACGACGTATCTCAGAGGCGTGGTAATTGTAGTCGTGTAAGCGTGTAACTTAATTCTAAGTGGAAATAAATAACTTTTTCGGATTTCCAGGTGAAATGTAAAATGTAGTGCTTAGTGATACATTTTCTATAAGAAACAGCGAATACGCTTTATATAAAATGTGTTTATTATTTTAAGATAATTTAATATATGATATGATTACAAGCATTTGACTTCATGAACACATATTTTCATTATAATATCTACTAGCTAGCTAGGCTAGCTTCACTATATCTAGTTTGTCTATCTTACACAAATCTCATGAAAACAGTACGCATAACGTATAGAATTCAAACAAATTGCTTCGACGTGACGTGAGCCACTGGAATAGTGCTTGTTCAGGCATACTCCTTGAATAATATGACTGTGGTTTAGCCGAGAACATTTTCAGTCCATTCTAAAGCCATGTTTATGAAGCAAACAGTATTGCGTCTGAGAATTTTGAAATAAAAGATGTATATTATGTATGGTTTTCCGGCGGATTTTCCTCAGTATATGCGTATGAAGATTTGTAGTCACATGAGAAATTAGGTCAGTTGCTCTACATAATAAAACACGTAGGTGCAAGTTTGCATGAAATAAGATTTCTTGACATTTGAAAATCTTTAAAATTTGAAGGAAATAAGGAATTAAAAAACTTATTAAGAGAGCGATATAAATTTGCTGATTTTCTTTAAACTAGATAGGATCTTGAGAATAGGCTTCGACAATCAGGTACTCAAAAAGCCGTCAGTCAGCTAATCTAAGTTTATATGCTCGATAGCTTTAATAATTCAGAAGCCATTTTAGTAATAACTAGGAAAATGGGAATTAGGCTTGCTACCTATGTCTATGAATTTTATTCTCTTACTACGGCTCGATCGGACATATTATTCGAAGCTCAATAACATCGCCAAATAGGCACTAGAATGGATTGACGCTCAGTTGTAGTCAAAGCACGAGTTATATGGTTGATGTGGCGTCAAAATTAAGTGCGTGGCTCAACATAGAACGCGATGGTGAATCACTGTCTAACCTAGGGGATACAGGAGAATATAATATATATTATATCTAACTTGTTCCACCTCCGATCACCTGTTCACTCCTAAGCATCGTGATGCTCCCCTACTGTCGTCGATCGCTTCCATCTCTGACGATCTCCAGCTTAGTGATAATAATTGGTCGGTCTATCGTATTGGTCTGAGTCCTCTTGGTTTCTTATCTTCCATTTTCATTATAAGTTTTTAAAGGTTATCATAAGGTTTCTGGGTAATGTGACCGAAATTTTGAACACAGGACACAAATGCTTGAAAATATATTTAGTTTATATAACTGAATTCATTATTGAATTATGATACTCTACTTTATAAGTTTTCTTTGTTTCAATTGTTTTATCGTTTTAGTTAAAATCCTTTCAGCTGTAATAACTAATATACGATATTTACAATCTAAAAAGGCTTCTTATAATACAGTAGAAATAAGTTCCATTAAGCCAATAAAACGTATCATTCGTAACGAACCGACACGGTCGAGTAATCGGTAAAGTTGGCTAGATCAAAGGATTTCGAGAAAGAATGTATTTTAACTTCGGTGGTCAAAATAACAAGCGGTTGTTCATATTGATTCTAAGTATTTATTGTAAAGTTATACTCAGGGGTCCGGTTTAGCTTGTACTACAACGTCATTTGATAATTTAAGTAGACAATTACTCTTACATAACTTGTTTAGTGAAAATTTAAAAGAGTATTGCATAGTTAAATATAGCATATATATAATATAGTATAAGGGGATTTTTTAAATCACTAAACTAAACTTTGGGTTATAATTTAATCTAAAAAAATAATCTGTTTCATGCTCATTTTGGATATTATTTTTAAGGCAAGCCGGTTTCCTCACGATGTTTTCCATCACCTTTCGATCATATGTTAAATGCGCACATAGACAGAAAGTCCATTGGTGTACAGCCGGGTATCAAACCTACCACCTAAGGGATGAGAGTCGCACGCTGAAGCCACTAGGCTGACACTGCTCACTGCTGTTATAATTTAATTTGAGCTATTATTGTAGTATGTAAGCGTTTTAAGTTTAGGCTTATCCCAAGATTTTGTAATGAGATAGAATGAGCAGTTCTTAGTTTAGTGTAAAATAGTAAAATCATATCAATTTTTATATATAATAATTATTTTATCAATATATAGATTTCCATTACTCCTAAAATATACAATTAATTTATTGCTTTGTATGAAGCACTTCAAGATTGAAACATAATTTGAGAAATGCTTTTTTGCATACATATACTTTAACAAATGAATTGCGTTTTTTATTCATTTTAAACAACGTAGATTTATTTGGTTTTCAGAATATATTTCAGTCTGGTTTTGTCATATTTAAAAGATCTAGTCTGTTTAAAGATCATTGAGGGCTATGCCCTAGTGTGACCTAGCAAGTGTGAACTAGGAAGCTATTGTTTAAAATGTCTCACACGTAAATGTGCACCCTTTACGTTAAAAATGTCTTAGGAGTGATGGAAATATGTGGATTTCTTCACTTGTACTATGTGAGATTTAAATCTCAAAGCACTTTCAATGTAACGGCATGAGATTCTCGTAAAACATATGCATTCAGATTCTCAATAATGAGGTCATGCTTTTAATCCCCAGTGACATACTAAATATGTTAACTATTAACACTTGCTCTTGATTAGAGACTAAGATCGATGACATGTCATATGATAGACCAAACTTGGCCAGCGCAGATGATTTGTAAAATTCATAAAAATACCTTCTAGCAGTGTCATAATTATAAACATGCTGGCTAATAAACTACGTGAATCTGTAGAGAAAACGCCTTTTGTATTAAATAAATTACAACACGAATTATACCATCAAGATTATGTAAAACTGAAAGCAATAAAACAGTTCATAAAATTGAATAATCGCTTATGCCTTAGTACCTTTATCGTAACAAACTCTCGTCCACTTCCCCGTAACTTAATGAGGATTTTCTGGGATAAAATAAATCTTAAAGCAAATACCCATTTGATAGTTTTTTCTGACATAATTACGGTTGGTAAGCACTCAGCCAGTCCGGCTTTAGCTTTTCTTTTGTTTCCAAACTTTTCTGCACGACTGAGCACAGTCAATGAAATGAATTCGAAAACTATTACTTTACGAGCACTTTGTGTACGAAAAAATCTAAGTTTTTATAAGTTTTCTTCTTAGAAAAACCTATTATGAGTCAGCGCTTCAAATATTAGTTTTATTAGTAAGTAACTAAAATATCCTTAACAGCTAGACTACCAGTTAGTTTTTTGGAGTTTACTCCTTAAGAAACGATTTGAGTTATAAGGCCCGGTACGGAAATTTTATGAGGAGTAAAATCAAGTGTAACACGAAAAGTTGAGGCGTTATGTAGAAAGAGACAAATGGATTGAACGTGTAAAAGAATGAGATGGAATACATTACACAGACTTTTCTATTTTGAATTCACGTTTTGACAGCCACGTTAAAACATTGTCAGTGTTGACAGGTGTAAAAAATAAAAGTAGATTGTCTAGCGTGCCATAGAGTTTTGTCAATAGTAATGGTCAGTGAAATTAAAACTAAAAAGATTAATCATTCTTATTCTTCTCTTACTATAAAGGTAACTTTGGTTACAGAAAGAACATCCTATTTGGGCATAGATGATGTAGGTACGTTTTATTACTACTACAAACATTTATATTATAAAAACATATATTCTTACCACCTTTAGTATGAAAATATGGTCGACAGCCACAGAACATTATCGCCATTTTATCGTTCGTAAGGAGTAAACTCCAATCGTGCGTCGTAGCTGACACACACACACTTTTTTTTCAAGATAATTGTTAATATGTAGATTTAATTGTGAATACCAGTAAGATTGTTAGTAAACAAAATCTTTGCTTTATATTTGATTGTGGAACTAATTTTATATTACGGTGGTAACATAAATTAAAATATGCCTTTTTATACAATTAAAACAATTATTTTAGAGAAAGGTTATTCTTTATGATGCTTGTTTGGTTATATATAATTTGTATGTGCATTATTTTGAATCGTGAACAAAGTTTCAGCTAATAATATACAAGAATAAAGAACACCTATAATTTATGTGACTGCCAGAAGTTCTCTCACACATTTTGCCCTATCGCCTATATTCTAGTGGAATACACTTATGTAACTCGATTTCCCATCCTCCCTCCACACCCGACATTCCAACTTGACGTTTCTCCCTTTGCAATGTAGCATTTTATTTTTATAGCCTTGTCTCTTCGAATATTTTCGTCGCCCTTGCTCCTTGTAATTCCAAAGAGTTCCCAAATTCTTCGTGATCTTTATATACTATAGTTTCACAATTCAAAACACAATATTGCAATATTACTATTCAGTTTTTGTCCTGCGAATCTTTTCTAGCATTTTTTAATATTGCCTTCAGTGCGCGGAATTCTTTTGCAAATATAATCGTCTCATATGAAACTGACCTTTTTATTTTTAGTAACTTTGGCAAGATACTTTCCTGTGAAAGCGGTGTCATTCCTTGGCTTCTCCTCTCCCTCACCAAAGGTTGCGAAAAAACTGTGTCATTTGTATTCAATAACATTTGAGCGATTCGTGTGGCATATATATCTAAAGCCCGAACTCCATACATGACGATAAACAGGAAAAGGGAGAATCCAGCGATTATGTAGTTTTTCTCGATCCGACCCAATATCGTCAACTTTTCGTACTCACAGGTAATCTCGTTTGATATTAGTTTTGATATATTCAATAACGGTACGTACATGCCGAGATATACAACTAGGGTGAAATAACTGATGATTGTTAGAGAACAGATTCTAGAAGATGTGAAAAATAAAGATCTGATTTTTCGTAAATCGTATGCAGGGTTAAGCATTACCAGGATCACAGACATCTGAAGGAGGAGTACGCAACCGAGAACGGATGAGCTCAGATCCATTATGTGGGTTTTGTTTCGAGATATTGTAGTAGTATAGTATGCTAGTCCATTTTGTGTGGTATTTTTGTGAATTTTTTTCAGACAAAATAACTTTAGATTTTACATTTTCTGTCACATATACAAACTGTCATTGAAGGTGATGTAATATTTTCTTGAAAGCACATTTAAAGAAAAATCTAAAAAGGTTTAATTAATTTAGTCTAAAATACTAACGAGTATTATTATTATTATTATTTATTTATTCTTAAGTGTATAGAATGTTCAATGTAACAGAGGGGTGGATACAATTACGATATAAAAGTCTGTTTCCTTTTTGTGAGTTCTGTTTTTGATACGACAGTGATTATACCTATCAATCTGAAACTGCTACAAAGTGATAACAATGATTGTGGCGTAGAATTTTAAAATTACTATTTAGTCATTGTTATACGTAAAAATAAATAAATTAAAGGATTAATACTTTTTTACTTTGGGCATTTTGCAGTAATCAATAAAACTGTAAAGGTAATACAATTTTTATTTAATTCTTTACTTACATTTTTGTTTTAATATATGATATTTCAACAGCGCCGGAAGAACAATAGATGCATTTGAAATACGCGTTGTTTTATTCTGAGTTAATATGGAATGTCTACACATTAATTCAAAATCCAGTAATTCAGCTATTTTAAAAGTGAAACATACAATTTTTTCTAATAATATCAACAGACTTAAGGATACAAAGAAACAAGTAATTCCAATTGCAAATACACTCAGATAAAATCTCCTTATTAATTCTTTTTCTTCCACTTGTTTCATAAGAGTTGCGTGGGTAATACTTTCCCAAGCTATTCCAAATATTAAATTAAATGATAAACACAATGAAAGAATTATCATGAAATTCGAAGAGATTTTATGGTTTTGTTTGAATTTATACCAACTATCTCTAATGAATCCAGCATCTTTAATCGGCTTCAACAAAAGCATTATTAAAATAACTTGTGATAGCATTAAAATTCCAAAAAATGCGTTGAAAGCGTTCATTTTGATCGATATTTTTTAAATCATATATCAGTTTTTGGGTTCTCAGACACAAGGGTGAGTAATGTATCTTTACTTATAGTTGACGTATCAACTATATTTTCTTCGCCAACCTTAATAATTTTGGTTTCCTTTCGATGGTCTAAGTCCGAAATACCCTTATTGGGATTCACTTTAAAGAAATGTTCTATAGTATTTTCTTCTTTCAACTCAATCACTGATGGCCAGCGGACCACATCATAATCTTCAATAGTTTCTTTAGCCTTTACCACATTCTCCAATCCAATACTATTATCATCAACAAATGCTATATCAAGAAGTTCATAGTTTGCCATTAAATTAGAAAACTCAACTAATTTTGCGGAGAAATCAAGAAAATCAAAGATTCTTAATGTAACGAGAAGGAAAAACAACGAAAACGCCCCTAAAATGTAATTTCTTGATGCATTTGTTGCAGTTATAATATTTCTTAATTTATTATCAGCTGAGTTTTCCCGTTTCCAAGCAACATTCAATTTGGTTAATGTTTTAGTAGGAGTAAGAATTCCAAAAGTAATTATAGTGATAGCGTATAGGGTAGCTAAGGAGATCGTAAATATATTACTGTTTTGGAAGATTTTTATGTTTTTCGAGAGAGTCACTATGTCGAAAAAGGGAGTTAGTAAAAATAATATGAAAACTACCTGGATGAAATTTATAGATATAAGTATTATGGAAGATGAATCAAGGTTCATTATGTATTATTAAACCATATTTAATTATTAATACTTGTAAAATAATTTAATTTTCAAACCATATTTATGACAATCTGAATAGACAATATTTTGATAGATCATACAATTGAAGCTTTGTATGGATTTATAATTTACAGAAGTTTTTTATTGGTTTTCACTAACATGTGAATGAAATATATAAAAAAACAGGCATTTTATGTGAACATTTCGATAAAAACTTGCAATAAATGGCGTGGAAAACATTAATCAAACCACAGATTATACAAATCCAGTTGAACAAAATTTTCAAATATATACGAATATGTCTGTCTCAGCAACGAGCAAGTTTTACTTTTTATAGAAAAGGATACCTGACATCAGTAAATTAGAAAAAAGAGCTTCCAAATCACTCTTAAAATAATACTAAACTAACTATGTATGAACCCGTCGTCACCGATTCGTCTTTCAAGTTTCAAATCCCTCGAGTCATCATTTTTTCCATAAATGCTAACAATTATCAGCCTCTGTAAGCTTTTCAGAGACATACTGCATGTCATACAAACTATTTCTTACATAATATATACCTAGTCCAGCCATAAGTTCTGTTACAAATGAAAATGCTATTTTTTTTAATGAAATAATGTAATATTATTATAATAATTTATACCTACATATTTATTAAAAAATCAGCAAAAAATTAAACAATATTCTATTCGAAATTGCCACCTTTGGCTTTTATACAGGCCTTTAATGTTTGACCACTAATCTATGGATTTGCGAACTGTTTCCAAGGGAAATTTCGCCACTGCTTGCTCCAAAGATTCTTTAAGAGAACGTCGCCGTGTCATTTAGAGCAGGCCATGTCCTCTAAAACTAACCATAATTTGAAGTCTAAAGGCTTGAGGTCTGTTACAAATGAAATTCAAGAAAAATGCATTTTCATTTCTACCAGAACTTATGGCCAGACTAGTTATAGTCTGTATTTTCATTATATCTCTTCTGTTTATGATAGTCTGTGGCTTTCCATTAATCAATATCCACAACATGTTATCCCCGTAGTATCGGTCCCGTTGGGGTGATTAAAGGTATCTTTTGCAAGCGTGAGATTAAAAACACTTTTTCGCGCGCTTACCTTATTTATAATATTGTTATATTCATAACTAGCATCGTATTTTTACAATACCTTCTAATTATATAAATATATTATAATACCTTCTAATTATATAAATATATTATAATAATAATCTGTGGCGCTATTGTTATAGATTTTAAGCTAAGATTTTTGCAAAATATCATTTTTGAAGTTATACTTCTTTAGGCGCGTTATGAAAAATTGATGAGCTAAAATTATCAGCATGAAGTTGCCCACGGAACTTCATTCTGTTAATGGGCATTGGACATAACAACATTCGAATAATAATAGAATTTATGTTACACTTAATGTAAGAGAATAATAATAAATATTTATTTATTTAATTTTTCAAATGTAAACTGAACTTTATTGACTAGAATGACTCTTTGATTATTTAATTGTAATTAATTATTTGCATGCAATCAAAAACTATTTTTAATAATGCCAAAGAAGTTTAACTCCTTACGCGCGTACATAAGTACACGTACCCTTTTTTATACTATGCTTTCTCAGCTTGTATTTAATGCTTTTCTTGTATATATGACTTTTAAAAAGTTTTCTTAAGAATATAGTATGTTCATTATATGCCACAGAAGAAGTTGAAAATGTATTGTGATATTAACACAGATGTGTAATCTGTGGAAAAAATAGTTATCATGGTTTATATCGCACAGCAGATAGGTCTTTGAAAAATACCAACGTCACTTAAATCTTTTTACATTAAATACTAGTAAAAGCTACATAAATCTTCAAAGCAATCCAATAACATGAAGCAAAAGATCTTTGTTTTGGCTATTTACTCGAGGGTCGCTAAATGAAGAACGTGAGAGGGACAAAAGGTTATCGAGATATTGGAAAATATTTCTTGAAGCAATTCTATACGTTATTTTATATAATTTACGGTCTTTATACGGCGTATATTTTTATAAACAAGATATAAACTGATATTGTGGGAGCAAGATTGTTAACTTTTTAACAAAACACCCAATTTTGTTGATAAGATAAAATAACTTACGATTTATAATATTTATACAAATTATTATTAAAGTTGGCATCACCCATGAGAGGTCTATATGCACAGGCTATTAACATATTACTACTAACATTTAGTTCTAAGTAAATACTAACAAAATTTGAAATGAAACTTAAGGAAATAAAAAGCTTAATTATTATTCAAGTTATTGCTCTTAAAATCAAATTTTATTTAATAAGAATTCTTAAATATACGAGTTGCAAAGAATTGAAATCTTTCTTTGTGTTTAATGAAACAATTCTATACAGTGTTCTGCGCTCAAGACGTCGTAATAAAGGTCCGTGAGTTAGTGCTTTTATTGCTGTGCCGGAGACGAGAATTGTATTCGGAGACTTTCTTCAAATATTTCGTGCAAATCATGCGTTCAATGTTATGGAAGGAATTTGTATGCGTATCCTCTGTGACTTAGTACTTATGGCACAAGGCGTGTAACTAGGAGGTCACTGGTTGAAGTAATCTGATTCCCAAAGCAAGGTGAATGAAATAGACGCAAATGTCTCAATGAAGATCTTCAGCTAGGGGGTCTTGAATTCAATCTCCGCGAAAAAGATATTGTTCTAGGTTGGTAGACACAGATTTAAAGGCTTTTTAACAAAATATTAATAAAGCAGACGCAGAACTGTACCTTCTCTACTGGAATTTACGGGATTCTGGCTATCCTCGTTCAATTAAGTAAAGCATTGTTTGTGATCATCTTTAGTTTTTCGTAAAAACTTAGTGCACTTCAGGCACTAACCAATCTGCTACGATCACTCTTCATATATTACAGAACATTGTTCCTGTCTACTTGTAATAAGTTGTTTTCTCTAATAAATATTTACTAAAGAATTCAATGATTTCCGGTCACAAATCAGAGAGTTTGTTATATCGTTAGGTTCAATAAATTGAGGGGAAATTGCCAAGTTTTCACGTTATAATAGCTTTCCTTCCTCTTGATTCTTGAGAGGTTTGTTCATAACTTTGTTGTATCTAGTAAGATATAACAATATATAAAGTATTATATTTGTAGTAGGTATTAAATATATGTAACTTTTAATATATTTTTTTCTATTAGAATATAGCAAACGGTTCTTTTATCATTTTGACCATTTTGCGATATTAATGCCTTCAAGAATCACACACAAGGTTCAAACTCAGCTAATGCTAATAAAATAATTTTGTTTAGTTAATAGAAAACATTCAGTTATATTCGTCGTCGTCAAGTCGTGATATTTTTTGATTTTTGTCATCCTTTTTGTACAAATATGTAATTATTATGTAAGACCATTCGTTGTTATTTAACCAACGTTTAATATACACGTTTTTATGTTCGTCACGTATAATAAATTTGATAGTGAAGCTCTGCCTACGGGTCTAATTTAGTTTGTTGCTTTGCCAGCTCCAATTAGCTTGTTCATACTTTTAAATTATTTATGAGTTCCTAGTACGACAATTACGTGATCATAAATGTTGGTAAAACTCACTTTGATTTATATTATTATGGCCAGATTTATATATAAACCAGTATTCTTAATTTAACAATATATATGTCGGAGCAATGCCGCTGGTATCGGCTGCCTTGCTCATTATTTAATAACTTCAAAGTCAAATAATATATTATTATCGACCATTGAATAGTCGTTTCGAAATAAACCATTCGTATCAACGGTTTTGCACTAATTTCACTTTGACGTTATTAAAAGATAATGACAATGACAGCTGACACTAACACCATTGCTTCAACATAAGTAATAAAGACAATTACATTACTACAGACTATCAAATAGCCTGTTAATTTATATATCTTAACTGATTTGAACTAATGTGACTTTGAAGTTATTAAATAATGAAAATGGCAGCCGATACCAGCGCCATTGCTCCGAGATAGATAAATAAAAGGACATCTTTTGATACTTCATTATTGACATAAACCCAAAGGATTGATAATCTAATAGAACTAACCCTACTTCTTGTACCAAGGCACCAGCAATCAAAAGATGCAATCGACAACATTACTGACATTACTTTACAAATTTCAATTGTAATAATCAGTTAATATCCATTATTCCACACTTCCAATAATGCCGGTGGAAATTAAAATACGCATCATATTTTCATTCCAGCAACGGTCAGATCACGCGAACCGAATATAGGATATTTCGATGATAATTTCAACGTAATAGGGTTGATACAACTCATGGATACTTTAATTTAAACATTTATTATATCTGCTTGTTTTTCATTTAAATCTATAAGAGAATGTAGTAAACAATTATATATTACAAAGATTTCGGCTTTGATTATATATACACAGCATGTATTTATTAGGACACAAGTAATTAGAGATACTATGTGGTACGACAGTATGAAAGTATGTATTTATTTATACTTTATTACCTTAATCAAAAACATACACATAACAAAAATAAAAAGCAGGTTACAAAAGTTAAAAGGCAACGGGCGGCCTTATCGCTAACAAGCGATTTCTTCCAGGCAACCCTAAAGTGGAACAATGAAAAAGAAACACCTACAGAGGGTAGAGTACAAGTAATGCAAAAATTATTAACAAAAAAAACTCAAAATAACACGTTACTATATCTAAAATAAAATAAAGTAAAATCTAAATTTAAAATACAATCATAAGGTTAACAGAGTCACAATAATTAATACATATCAGCAGAGCTAATTACGAGGCAGAAAGAAAATGATCATGAAAGTATTACAATTTTTAAATAAATTGATTTTGTACTTACAATTACGCCAAATTTATATATACAAACAGAATTCATTACATTTATATTAAAAAATTTATGCAAAAAAGCAAATTGCAGCTATATTAAAAAGCGTATCTGCAGTCTAGCTAACTTCTCGTGTTCT